GAAAATCTGGATCTCAGCTGGCTGGGGGAAGGGGTGGCAGGGGTAGCATTGTCAGGTTTAGCAAAAAATAACAAACAAACCTAAAAACAGGACATCCAGTTAGAGTTGAATTTCAGATAAATAATTTTTTTAATGTAAGTTTGATCCACGCAATATCTAGGACACACTTATACACCAAAAGTATTTATTGTTTATCTGAAATTCAAATTTGGTAGCATTCTGTATTTTATCTGGAGACCCTGGTGGGAGGGATATTCAGCTCTCCCAACTCATTCACTCACTCACTCAATTGACTCCTCCTGCTTCCCAACCCCTAAGAACCCCAACAGTCTCCAGCTCTGCTTCCCAAACCTGGTGGGGGCTGACTGGGCTGGCAGTGGACCCAGATACACAGAGCTGGAGAGCAGAGGCAGCTTGCAGGAGCCTGGAGCCCCCTTCCCAGAATGCTCTGGGTCTCCGAAGGCAGGTCTGGCTCCCAGGCTCCAAGGGACTGGCTAGGTTTGTTAAATTCGCTGTTTCAATTCCATGCAACTGTTGAATGAGCCCTCAGAGCCTGGCTCTTCCCTAGCTCTAACCCTGCCCCCTTTGCCCTCAGATGGGCTGGCCCTCTCCAGTACAGGAGAAAAAGGGGAACCTACCAAAGTCCTCCAGAAAAGAGGAAGGTACAGCTTGTGGAGTGGTTTGAGTGAGGAGTGGGGAAGAAGGCTTGGCCGGGGGCTGAAAATGAGGAACACTGGCCAGTCAGGACCTACCTGGAGGTCACTCCCTCTGCTGGTACCAAGTGGAAAGAGGATCCAGAACAGGTGGGGCTTTCCAGCCCAGCTCACCCCTCTCCTGGGAAGGAAGGTGGGGGGGGGGCAAGGTCATGAGCACGCAGTGCCTCGCTGCTCCAACAGCAGCCCATGGGCCAGACTCAATTTCTCCCCTAGGGTGATAAAGCATATTGGATTTTCTGGGCTGCCCCACCTTGCACTGGGAGGTCTGGGGGCACAGCCACCTAGCACGGGCCTGGGCAGGGAACTGCTACCCCAGCCTTCTTCAGGAGACTTCCGTGTCTTCCCACAGTTGCTTCTTCCTGCCCCTGGCTCCCTTTCCCACCCATGTGGGTACCTTACAAAGTGGGAAAGCGATCCACAGCAAGCTTAGTTCAGGGCCATGGGAAGCCCTTTGTTTTAACCAGTGAGACCCTGGCTTCTGACCCCGAAGAGGTTAAGGCAGTAGATTTTCCAGCCTGTCTGTCCACCTTCAGTTAAGGGGGGTGGGGGGCGCTGGATGCTGGTCAAGGTGTGATGGAAGACGGGTGAAGTAGGGCTCCGGGGCGGGTGCAGGCAGAGGACGGTCTGGGGAGGGTGTGGCTGCCGCGGGGCCCCAAGGCTTGAGTCCTGGGGGCGGGGCAGAACTTGAGGTCCACCACGCCTGGGAACCCTTTGTGCACCCATCACAGGGTGTTGCCTCTTTCCCCAGCAACAGTGACTCACAAAGCCAGACTGCGCCGGGCACATGCCGCCTCCTCTGGACCCTGGAAGGCCCAGGTCACAAAGGCCATTAGGGCCAAGCCCTGAAGAGGCATGTCCCAAGACAGCTCTGCGCAGTGCTCACCCCTGCAGGCGCCCGCGGGGCCGGGCCTGGGCCACCCACCGCACCCGGGCCTGGCGACTGGGCATTACGGCTCGCGCGGAGCGCCGTAGCCTCGACGCCCATGTGTGTTGTCTGCTTCGTGAAGGCGCTGGTGCACGTGTTCAAGATCTACCTGACCGCCAACTACACCTACAACTTCCGCAGCTGGCCTGTGGACTTCCGCTGGGATGACGTGCGCGCCGCCAGCGGCGGTGGCAGCAGTCACCGCGCGCTGACGTGCGCGGCAGCCGCAGCGGGCGTGTGGCTGCTGCGGGGCGCGGCACTGGGCGGGGACGCGCCGGGGCGACGGCTGCGCGCGGCGCGCAGTCAGGCGCAGTGCCTCCTGCAGCAGATCCGCGAGCTGCCGGGCCAGCTCGCCAGCTACGCCCTGGCCCACTCGCTGGGCCGCTGGCTCGTGTACCCCGGCTCCATGTTCCTGATGACTCGCGCGCTACTGCCGCTGCTGCAGCAGGGCCAAGAGCGCCTCGTGGAGCGCTACCGCGGCCGGCGCGCCAAGCTGGTGGCCTGTGACGGCAATGAGATCGACACCATGTTCATGGATCGCCGCCAGCACCCAGGCAGCCAAGGCCGAGGCCTGCGCCTTGTCATCTGCTGCGAAGGCAACGCCGGCTTCTATGAGATGGGCTGCCTGTCGGCGCCACTGGAGGCTGGCTACTCGGTGCTGGGCTGGAACCACCCGGGCTTCGGGGGCAGTACGGGCGCGCCATTCCCTCAGCATGACGCCAACGCGGTGGACGTGGTCGTCAAGTACGCGCTGCACCGCCTTCACTTCCCGCCCGCGCACGTGGTGGTCTATGGCTGGTCCATCGGTGGCTTCACGGCCACCTGGGCCACCATGACATACCCGGAGCTGGGTGCGCTGGTGCTCGACGCCACCTTCGACGACCTCGTGCCGCTGGCCCTGAAGGTTATGCCCCACAGCTGGAAGGGACTCGTGGTGCGCACCGTGCGCGAGCACTTCAATCTCAATGTGGCGGAGCAGCTGTGCCGCTACCCAGGCCCCGTGCTGCTGCTACGGCGCACGCAGGACGACGTGGTCAGCACCTCGGGCCACCTGCGCCCCCTGCCGTCCGGCGACGTGGAGGGCAACCGCGGCAACGAGCTGCTCCTGCGTCTGCTGCAGCACCGCTACCCGGTCGTCATGGCGCGGGAAGGCCTCGCGGTCGTGACGCGCTGGCTACGTGCGGGCAGCCTGGCGCAGGAGGCCGCCTTCTATGCGCGCTACCGTGTGGACGATGAGTGGTGCCTGGCACTGCTGCGCTCCTACCGCGCGCGCTGTGAGGACGAGCAGGAAGATGAGGAGGCCAGGGGGCCTCATGGGCTCTCCTTCCCCTGGCTAGTGGGCCAGGGCCTGAGTCCGCGGCGGCGCCGGCAGCTCGCACTGTTCCTGGCACGCAAACACCTCAAGAATGTGGAGGCGACTCACTGCAGTCCGCTGGAACCAGAGGACTTCCAGTTGCCCTGGAGGCTGTAGTTCTTGCCCCTGCAGCTGCGGGCAAGCGTGGGTGCATTTGCGCACCTTCAGGGCCTCAGGTCCTTACCCTCCCCACACCGGAAACCAGTAAAGCTGGCCCTGCCTGGGGATCCCGACCTGGTGTCTGAGGGAGGGTGAGACAGGACATAGGGAACCTGTCCTCTCTCTCTCTCTCCCTCACGGGCGTTTCCCCCTCCCTTCCTCAAGTGTTTCTCCCCCAAACACTTGTGGATTCCAGTCTGCTCCTAAAGAGAATGTAGACCCAGTTTATGGCAACACTGTGTGATGGGTGCTTTGATCACCTCAAAAGGATGGTGGGAACACGGGCTGTGGGACCCCAGCAGGTGCCCTTAACGTGGCCTAGGGTACAGGATGGCTCTGAGTTTGGACAAGTCACCCCTAGCTGTGAAAGAACACTAGCCCTGGAAGATTATAGACTAGACCAGGAGTGTGATGCTGGGCTCTTTAGGGTCCCCTCCCCACCTCCACCTTCCTGGCTTCTACAGGAAAGGACAACAGACTCAGAGTAACAGGTACTTACAGTGGCATGTCCGTGAGGGCTACAGACACACCTGCACGGACCATTCACTTGCTTGGCATCCCCTTGAGCCAGGTCTGGGCTGGGCATTGTTCCTGGTTCAAGGGTGTAATACAGAATGAGAGACAAGCCCCCTGCTCACCACCATCTGTAATGCAGTCGCTCCTCTACCATCTGCCATGAACTGCATGAAGCAGGGACTAGGCAGGAAACTGCAAAACTCAAAGAAGCCAAGTGGGGCAGACATTTAATTGACAGCACCAGAGCAAGACACGGCCACAATGCACCTAGGCCAGGGCCAGCCAGAGATATGTAGGTACCTAAGGTGACCTTAGGTGCCAGGAAGACACCTGTGGCTAGGTGAGCTTTGAGCTGATATAGGAGGAGCTATCCAGGTTCAGGAAGGGGCTTCCATGCAGAGGGATCAGTACAAGCAGCGTGGCTTGGCTGGGAAGGGCCAGTGCAGTCCTGAGGGTTTGAATACCATTGAAGGGTTTGCTTCCAGTGGCAATTAGCCAAAGAAGGAAAGTTTTGGGACTTGTTTTAGCGAAACCGGGTTGTCTAGTGGTTACACACCTCTCCTTTGAGAAGTCCAGCAAACTTGTTCCAGCGTTTGCTGGAAGCCCCTCAACTAGCTGAGTGGTCTCGGACAAATTACTCTAACCTCAGTCTCCTCATCTGTAAAGTGGGGAGGGCTCCAGCTGGATTCTCGGGTTGTGTGAAAAGGAAATGAAAGAACACCGAGGTGCACGCGGTGCAGGAGCGCGAAGGCTGCCCTGCAGGCGAGACGCCTCCAGCCAAGTCAGGGTCGCGGCGCCTGCCGGGCAAGAGGACGAATCGCGGGCACGCCTTTTTCTGCGTTACCCCATACAATTAAAAATAAATAAATAAAAATCCCTATAAAGAGAAAGGACTTAAAAAAAAAATGAAGGGAGAAGCTAATCCCAAAGTCGGGGGTCGGGTCTCAAAAACAGATCTCAAGCAGTCTGTGCGGTGCGGTAGCCATGACACTCCTAGGCAGCGGCAAACACCCTCGACATCTCCAAAAGGGCCAACCCTAGGCTTCCCCAGCGCCATGTTGGACGGGCGTCCCACTTCCCACCTTCCCAGTGCGCCTTCGGACCTTTCTACCTGTGTCTCGCTGGTGGAGCCGACGTGGGAGGGATTCCCTTAGAACCCGGCCTCCCTTTCCGGTTTCGTCCGCAGCCTCGGCCAATCAGACTGGAGCGAGTAATAGGGACGGGGCCGAACAGCACCCTCGTTGGACACCATTGGTGGGGGCGGGACGAGGGCGGAGCGCGCGCCGAAGCGGAAGTGGGCCGTCGCCTCGCTGATTACGTAATGCCGCGGTGGCTGAGGCGGTTCCGCTGGCCGGCGTGTGCGCGGCGAGCGAGTCCCGGTGCGGCCCGCTCGGCTCCTCCGGCGCCCCGGACCCCGGCCCCGACCCCCGCTGCGGCCCGGCCGCCGCCTGAACATGGACTCCGCAGGCCAAGGTACCCGCGGGCCCGGCGCCTCCGCCCCTCCCTGGCGGCGCGTCCCGGACCCTCGATCCCCTCCGCCTCGGTCCGCCGCGTGGCTCCTCGTCAGCTGCCCGGCGCCGGGCCTCGAAGCTTCCGAAGGCCGTGGCGTGCGTCTTCCTCCCTCGGCTTGGGCCGCTCCGAGGACCGGTTCCCCGCAACCCCTCCCCTCGTTCCCAGGGTTTTGGGTTTCCTCGCTCGGGCAGCTCGCGTCGTGCCCCGGCCCGGCGCTTGCCTAGTCGGCCGGCCTCCGTCCCTACGTAGAACCCTCGAGGACACGCCGCCCGGGCCTGGGCAGACGCGCTGTGCGCCTCTCCCGGGGAGGGGAGGCGGGAGGGAACCACCTTCGCGTTGAGTGCGGCGGCCCTTGGGTGGCAACGCTGCTCGGGGCCCAGGCTCCTGAGGGCTTGTCTCAAGGGGGGAAGGGTGCAGTGAGTTGGGGGCACAGCCCGCGCGCCAGGCCTGTTTCCAGGACACCCTGACCGGTTGGAGATGGCTGCTGGGGGTGTGGAATGGGCCCAGATTAAAATCGTGAGAAGGTGATTCAAGTCGGGCTTCCATTCTGGGGCCTTACGGAAGGGATGCCCAATTCCGATGTTGACCTAACTACCCTGGCTGATGTGAGGGTTTTTCCTGCCGTTTGTTTAATTAACATGCTGATACAGGTCAAGGTGTCTGGGTTCTGAGACATTCTGTAGGTTTTCCTACTTTTGCAGTGTACTTGCAAAATAGTTGATCATCCGAAGCCCTTAGCTCTGTTAAGCTCAGGAGGCTTTTCACTGTTTGACTCGCATGTCTAACTTTGGTTAGCACCAGAAGCGCTGGATTCTGACCATAAGAGTGATAGAAAGTACTTACTGAGCACTTACTGCGTGCCAGATACCACACCAAACCTGTTTCTCAAGGGGCCTTTTTTCATTTTCAGAATAACCCCTTGAGATTGTTCCTTGTATTTTCTGCATGCAGAACTGTATGTTATACAGTACTGGGGAGCCGGGACTCGCCCAGGAAGGACTCTAGCCCCCAAGTTTCGCCTCCAGTGCCAGCCCCACCCTCACTCTGTAGGTCTTTTGGTGACAGGGCTGTGCTGATGTCATATCACACAGAATGACTGTGTTTCGCCTCGGCTTGTTTGCCAAGTGCCCAGTCTCTGTCTGGGGGTGATTAAGCGTCTGCCTTCGGCTCACGTCATGATCCCGGGGTCCTGGGATCGAGTCCCGCATCGGGCTCCCTGCTTGGCGGAGAACCTGCTTCTCCCTCTCCCACTCCCCCTGCTTGTGCTCCCTCTCTCGCTGTCTCTCTCTCTCTCTGTCAAATAAATAAATAAAATCTTAAAAAAAAAAAGTTCACTTATTTAAGTAATCTCTACATGTGGGGCTTGAACTCACCACCTCGAGATCAAGAGCCGCATGCTCCTCCGACTAAGCCAGTGAGGCGCCCCCTATGTCTTTACTTTTAAATGTGCCAAACACCATGCAAGGCCTATTTTTCGTGGCATGTGCTGATTGTGTAGTACTGCAGGACAGCCATGGGTTTGGAGTTGGGAAGAACTAAAGCAGACCCATGTTCCCTTGTGTGGGAGCTTGTCAACTTTTAGTGCAGACAGGAAGATGCTTTTAATTTGAAGAAAAAATAGTGACCATAGGGATTGGAACCTGATCTGGGTGTCTCGGAGGTGTGGAAGCAGTGTTCTCTCCGCGCCTCGCTGCATGTTGCTGTGGAATGAGGGTCGAGCAGAGACTGCAGGGTATTTTGTTTTGTTGACCCCCTGCTGGGGCTGGATGACTAGCACATGCTCATGGTTTGTAATTTTAGCATGTGCTTTGCGGGTAGGTTGTGCTTGTTGTGTTTACAGCTGTATTAAATTTCTCTGCTCTAAAAATTGGAAGATCTGTTAGGTCCAACTGCTTTATTAGTAGCAAACGTTCCTATCTCAGGAGCATGCACACTCTCATGGGGAAAGAAGAGTTAGGGTTCGTCTGCCTTGTGCCAGCCTTTCTCATGCCCTGCAGTAGCACCTTGGGTAGCCTGAGATGCCCTTGGCCTGATGGCCACACCATCCCTGCAGAACCTGTCAGAGAAGAGGTGTTGGTTCTTGCCACAGTCCCCCCAACACCCATAACCTGTGCTCCTACCCTTGCTCTCTTCCTTGGTGGGGACCTTTTCCCTGTCTACTTCTCTGTAACTTCTTATTGACGCTTTCCGACCTTATTTGTCTTTGGCAGATATCAACCTGAATTCTCCTAACAAAGGTCTGCTGTCCGACTCCATGACAGACGTCCCTGTCGACACAGCGTTGGCTGCCCAGACTCCTGCTGTTGAGGGTCTGACCGAGGCTGAGGAGGAGGAGCTTAGGGCTGAGCTTGCAAAGGTGCTGTGTCTTGGCTGTCTGTCTTGGGACCATGAGTTCAGGCCCCCCTCATTAGCCTGAGGGGGCCAGAGTGCTAGCTGTGCTCTGCAGAAATGGCCCCGGGAGATTATTCCTAGAGCCCCACAGAAACTGCTCTTCCTGGCGGCTTTGTGTGTGCTTGGTGCCTCGTTAAGTATTCCATGAGGAGAATGTATACACGGGGACAGCAGCTCTGAGCACACCATCTATTGGGAGTGTCTTTGTTGGTATTAACACTTGACAGTTTCCAGACTCCAGAAACTGTTTCTGGATCTTCATTTTTCTTTTAAAAATACTTCTTTTGTAAAAAGTGCTTCATGTGATTTTTTTTAAAGTGAGTCCTTTAAGAGGAAATGGTAATTAAAAGCCAGAATCTCCAAGTATAATTTTTATTCATAGCAGCTGCCAGGAATGTTTCTTTTTACTGTGTAGTGCAGAATCTAAGGGTAACTCACTTGGGATTCAAAATCTGGCAGCATGAACTTGCTGATAATCTGAGTGTACCATCCGATCCGGCAGAGGCCGGTGACTGCCTGTCACCGGCCTCTGCTCTGTCTCCAGAGATGAGCCCCGTGTTGATGCATCCTGAGTCTAAAAAAGAGCTAGCTCTGCAGATGATCCTCAGCCCCACGACCAGGTTTCAGATCGTGGGGGAAAGCATACAGCCGTTTCTGAGTTGAGTGCAGGTTAGGAAGCCCCAGCAGGCAGCTTTGCACCAGGTCATTTCAGAGTTGAGCTGCAGAGTGGAGAAGCTCAGTGTCACTTAAAATTTTCAGTGTGTACTTCCCCCAAGACAGCTGGATTGCACACCCTCAAGCCCTGTCGATCGTCACACCATGAATGGAATGTTCTAGTCACTGGAGTAACTGGTAGCAGTCCGGCCTTAGATGATCCTATGTTTGTAAATTATTTCCTGTTCCAACTATTTTTTTGATGGAAAACCTAGTGATGTAAGGGCTTTGAGCTACTTTTTATTACCCCAAACCATCGCTTTTTTAAGAGAAGGACTTTTGGGGGGGGGCAGCTATTGAGTTGAAAACAGACCTCTGGAGTTGTGAAGCTTTAGAGGATGCTTCTTTTTCATGTTGCATCCTTTTTTATTTTAGGGCCTGAGAAGGTTCAGGTCTTTATTGTCAGGATTCTTTCTGTTATCCAGTTCAGACTAACTTAAGCACAAGGCTCGGGTAACTGCCTTTCCCGCAGCCTGGAGCTGACCTCAGGAACATACGTGTTGTCATAAGGGCTGTTGCTGTGCCACCCATCTGTCCGTCAGCTCCACTTCCTTCCAAGTGCAGGTGGGGCCTGGCTGCAGCACTTCCAGCCTCTGAGCCTGGAGGGAGAGGGGCTTGTCTCTCCTGACACTTGTGCCCAGTCCCAGGGGAGAGCTCGGACAGGCCTTGCTTGGTGATCCATGGGTGGGCACAGCGATTGGTAGCCCCACCGGGAGCCACTTGACGGGGGGATGGGACAGTCCTCCTGAAGAAGTTGGATAAAAACAGAACAGTTGCTTGACATAGACAGACTCTGTTCCTCAGACAAGTTGTTTCTGTAAGCGGAAGGTCCGAGAACCCTCTCATTGCAGTGTGTGTGAGGATGTTGGTCACTTCCCGCAGTAGTGGCAGCTAATCACATCGGTTGTGTCCTTTTACAGGTGGAAGAGGAAATTGTCACTCTGCGCCAGGTCCTTGCGGCCAAGGAGAGGCACTGTGCCGAGCTGAAGAGGAAGCTGGGCCTCTCTGCCTTGGAGGGCCTGAAGCAGAACCTGTCTAAGAGCTGGCATGACGTGCAGGTCTCTAACGCGTAGGTACCTGCCCTGCGGCCAGGCGCCCCTGACGGTTGGAGGGTGTTCACCAGACCGGTGCCCCTGCTGCGTCAACGGGAGGCTAAGTACTGGGGGACTCAGTATGCCTGTGTGCTGGCAGCCAGCCAGAGGCTCTGAGCTCTTGACCTAGCAGCTGGGGGTATGTATCCAAAGAGCTTAGAGTCTATACATGTTTTTAAAAGGCAGGTGGATACGCTAGCTAGTTGTGGAAGCGGAAATTGACAAGAATGTATTTCAGGGTCCAAGTTTGAGAGAAAGCTCATTAGGTCCTTAATGAGACTGATTTTCCTGTGATCCCCCATAGCTCACTGTCTGCTGAAGTGGACACGAGTCCTTCTCATGAGCATGATGTGGTCACAACCCCAAGCCCTCTGACCCAGATGTGACTCAGCTCTCTGAACTTGGGGAGAGTAGCTACATGGCTCTTCTGAAATGTATCCTCCAGGGTTTGAGGGGCGGGGCGTGGGTTTGGGAAATGTTTCCCACTGTCTATGAAGCTGTGTCCCTGCAGAAAGATTGAATCACATTTCATCAAAGTCACCTACAAAAGCCCATTTCTCTCTCCTAGGGAATCCTAGGTTTTGAATCCCAAAGGGTGACTGGCAGAGAAGTGTTTGGGGGCCATGGGCTGTGTGTGCCTTCCTTGCTCCTCACAGCAGTTCTGTTCCCTAAGGGCCATCTTACATGGAGTGACCAGGCGCTCCCTAAGCGTGATAGGAAAAGGACTGGTCGGTTCTGCCATCGCCTCACCTGGCCTCAGCGAGGCCTGCCCAGCAGGTGTTGAGAGGAGGGGCAGACCCTGTTCTCAGGCAGGCTGGAGACCCACCATTCCTGCTCTCCAGCCCTCCGTGTTCCCTGGAATTTCTCCTGTAGTTCAAAACCTTAGTTGAAACAATTGTTCTAAATAATTTACCACAGACTTTTTGTTTTTAGCTATATGAGAACTTCTGAGAAACTTGGAGAGTGGAATGAGAAAGTGGCCCAGTCAGACCTGTGAGTGCCTTTGCTGTCAGCACCTCCCTCCCCCTCCTCTTCCTCTCAACGCTCGTTCTAGGGACAGGGAGGCTTTGCGCACTTGGCACAAACCTAGTTTTTTAGTGTTTGGGGCTATTCTGTTTTTAATACCGTTTTTCTTCTCTTGAACACAAATGAGAGTATAACTCTCATGAAATGGGTGCAGTCACTGAAGGAAATTCACTCGGCCACCAGACTGCACTGAAAACCTCCGTCTGGCTGACATGGGTGCGTCCCTTAGATGAGAGGCCTGGCTGGGCTCGAAGGCGCCCCTCACCTTGCGAGTGGGCAGAGTGGCTGAGCACCATCTGGGCTGATGCTGATGGCGATTTGGGGCTTTTTTTTTTTTTTTTTGCCTTCTCGCCCCTGTAGACCTAGCTCCAGCTAAGGGGGATTCTCAGAGCTCACTCATACTTACGGGTGGTTCTTGAGTGAGGGCTGCCACACAGGCCATGCTGGTGGGGTCTTGAAGTTGCATTGGTCTGAGGAGCACAGAGCTGTCAGCCACACAGAATATTAGCAGAGTAGGAAACACACAGATAGGTTTTCATGTCCGTCAAGGCTGTAGTTCAGAATGAGTCCTAATGTTTTATTTGAGATCCTTACACAAGGTAGTAGCACTTCTTTTATCCGTGCTGCAGTCTGATTATAATTCCTTTGAACTGGATGAGGAAACATTTTAAGATAGTGGTTTCTGGGATTCTTTTCCTTCTCTTGTTGAGGAGGAAGTGCTGTGGTGTCTCCAGAGAGCATGACCAACAGGCCTCCGTGTCTGGAAGGAAGTGGTTGTGACCGAATTCGTCTTCACGGCACCTGGGACCCCAGGTCAGCTGGCTGTGTGCTCGGAGTCTTTGCAGCCTGGTGTCACCAGGGGAGCTGGGTGCCAGGGTGCTCTGGTGGGTCCCACCTTTCGTGTGGTTTGGTGTGACAGCTGTCCTTGCCACGGCCTGCTGTGCTGTGTCTTCAGGGCTGCAGCGGACGATCCCTTCGTGGTGTTAACAGGTGTTCTGGAGGCTGAGACAATCGCTGTCATCTGTGCAGTTTGGGCACCAGGCAGGCTCACGGTGCAGACTTAACCTGAGAAGAGCCTTAGGAGACTCTAGTGCTGTTTGTAAAACCAGGTGACATAAGATTGCTAGGATATGGTTTCAAATAATTACGTGGCTCTGGGCATGGAAGTGGCTGGTGGGATGGCCCTTCCCACGCGCCTCTCCAGGTGGCAACCGTTCCCCTGAGGCCTCACCCCCAATTCCGTTGGTGGGAGAGTTGCCAAATTGAAGCCTCCAGAGCATTTCTGCAGGGACAGCCCAGGGGGAGGGTGACCCAGCTTGTGGTCACTGCAGGAGGCTGCTGGCGGGGGGCAACTGCCCTGAGGGCTTTCTCAACCAGCAGACACATCTGTGCGTGTAGCACTGGCTTTCGTGAGGCCGTGCTGGGTGTAAGCAGCGTTCTCTTGGCTGCGAAGTGGTTGCCAATGCGTTCTATTACCAGATGGAGCTAAACTTGTGCAGAGGGGGCACCAGGGAAACTCCGTGGCCACTGGTTGGTATGTTGAGTCCTTCAGTTGTACAAGACAGAAAGCATAGATGTGGATGGTGTCAGCCTTGTCCAGCTCCTTCCTGGTGCAAGGGGGTGCCCGGTGGTGCAGGTTTGAGTCTTTGTAGTATTGCAGCTCAACAGCAAGAAGGCCTGGTGTGGGTCTCACTGGACTCCCTGTGGTTGGGGCGCTGTAAACTTCCCTGGCTGTCCACACTGCGATCATGCCCACCCGGACTTGGAGGTGGGAGCAGCCCCCAAGGGAAGATCCCGGAGCAGGTACCTCCAAGCAGATGCCCCACACTGACTATGAGGGGAGGGAGCCTGGTATTTGTCAGGATTCTACACTTTTGTTTTACTAAAAGGTAGTAGTAATTCTCAAAGGGGTATTGGCCACGGTGGCTCAGCCTAGCGCTCTTGAGCACGTCTGGGCCCAAGTTACCTGCATACAGACTGACTCTGCCCCCAGCCCTGTCACTGCCTGAGCTTGGCCTCCCCGTCAGGGTCCCTGCACTGCATCTGCCCTGGTTTGGAGATTTCTGTCTCTGAAGGAGTCACTTGTGACCCCTCATTTCCACACCGCAGAAATACTGAGGGTGGTGGAGTGTGGGAGATCACCTCTGGTTTAGTCTCCAGCAGGGGTGCTGCCCTTTGCAATGGCCCATAGCAAGGGTCTCTCCTGTCTGTTGTCTAGTGGCTGGCTCCAGTCTGAGTCACCCTCAGGATGCTGCTGCTCGTCACCGACAATCCGTGGCACAGGCTCGTGGTATCTCCAACTGCAGTTTCCCTGTGGGCATGGAGATTTTGTATGGACTTGCCCTTAAATCCTTTGTTTCACTTCAACAGATAGGTTCACATGGTCTTACATACTCATTATTTCACAAGAAATGGCTTGAAGACGTTTTCTGAATTTGGTTTCTGAAACTAAATAACGCATGCCATTAGTTACTTCATACTTGGTGTTTTTTTTTTTTAAGATTTTATTTATTCATCCGAGACAGAGAGAGAGAGAGAGAGAGAGAGAGAGAGCACGAGCAGGGGGAGAGGCAGAGGGAGAAGCAGGCTCCCCGCTGAGCCAGGACCTGGACGTGGGGCTTGATCCCAGGACCCTGAGATCATGACCCAAGCCGAAGGCAGATGCATAACCATCTGAGCCACCCAGGCGCCCCTCGTTACTTGTTGTTTTATAAATAACAGTCATGGCTCCCAGTCTATTTCTTTCAGATAACCGTTTCAACTTGCTTTGAAATGAAAGCAGTTCGCCAGCTGGGGGTAAGGGTGAGGGAGCCCAAAAGGTTATTTCAAGTTAGGGGCACCAGAGAAGGTTCCAGAGCCTTTCCATAGCAGGCTTTGTTGTGGGGGAGGTGCAGCATGTGTCCCCTTCCCTTTACTGTCACAGTTTTGCTGACCCCGAGACAGACTGTGGTACAGGTGGTGGCTCCTGGCTAAGGCTCCATCAGGCTGGAGGGTGAGTGTGTGGAAGCCTCCCAGAGGGAGTGTGCGCGTTGGTTTCTGGTAGTGAGAACCAGCTGTGGCCAGCCCCTCGCAAGGTGGTCTGAGTCCCAGCCGTGCGGCTCTCCGGGCTGCTGCGTGCGTGCTTGGATTTTGTTTTCATTCCTGTTCAGTTCTGTGATCATTTCTATTGTGGGGGAAGAGATTTCTGGGAGTCAGATTGTGCTAAAAGGGTTCAGAATTAGTTTTTTTAGTTACTTACTGCCTTCAAGAAATCCAGAGCAAATCTTACAGTAAAGATTTTATTTAAAAATTTTTTAAAGATTTTATTTATTTATTCGAAAGAGAGAACAAGCAGTGGGAAGGGGCAGAGAGAGAGAGAAGCAGGCTTCCCGCCGAGCAGGAAGGACCCCGAGATCATGACCTGAGCCGAAGGCACTCGCTTCACCAACTGAGCCACCCAGGCGCCCCTCGCAGTAAAGATTTTAGACTATTTTCTCTCCACTGTTAGTACGTTCTGGGATTCACGGACCTTCCTGGAAACTAAGATAAACTCACTGAAACTCACTGTTCTAGCGACGTCAACGTGTTTTCACACTCATTGGCTAGAAAGCACGTTTCTGAGTCCCGAACCCTGCTGGGCGCTAGAGAAGCCTGAGGCCCCATGGTGCCGTGGGAGTGCCTGCCAAGTAGAGGGAGGCCCTCCCAGGAGTGTGCAAGGCTGGGCCCCCCCACAGGATGGGGTGGCGTGGGGGAGTCATGGCAGAACCCCACCTAGCATGGGCAGTCTGCAGTGGTTGGGAGGGAGGTGGGCAGCAAGCACTCCCAGTGGGGCCTCTTGCAGATGGCACTGGGGGCCACTCAAACGACCCACTGGTGCTGTCTCACCTGCCCCCTGTGACATGTGACCTGGTGACACCAACAAGGTGTCAGAAAGTGATCACAGAGAGTAGACTGGTGTCTCGAGAGCCAGGGCTGCCTGGTTGGCCAGAAACGAGCCCTTGGGTTCAGGCGGCTGTGTCTTGTTTATGGTGGCAGCTGGACAAGGGCTGACAGCACCACATATTAGCTCTCAAGGTGGGCCCAATGCTGTCCTTGCCATCTTTGGCCACTGCACGGACATTGAGGTCATCCCAGAAGACGAATCCGCATGCGGGTGGGTGGGGCAGGAGGGCGTGGAAAGGGTGGTCTCTGCTGTGGCCCAAGGCTACCCTTTGCACTAAGAGTGGTGGCCTGAGATGAAGGTCCCCCGGCTCAGGGAGGGTGTTGTAAGACAGCACAGGAGGCTGGGGGGCCTGGGGGGGCTCCCAGGAGTCTGCAGGCTGCATGTCCACACTGTCAAGCACATCCCCCCCATGGGCGTGGTGGAGTTTTGACATGAGAAGTTTCCCAAATAAAGTAACAGAACGAGGGGATTTTACTGCCTTCTCTCCCAGACCCAGGGCCCTTGTGGGTCTGTCTACACTGCAGGAGGCGGACACTTCATGTCCCAGGTAGTCAGTGTTGTGGTGAGAAATCAAGGGAAGTGGGCACCTGAGTTTTAGATGAGGTGGAGTGAGGTCAGAAAACGGTTGTTGCAGAGCTGGGAGGTTGAGACCTGGCCATGCCGCATCGGTCCCCTCCCTGATGGCCAGGCACATGCTCACTAAGGGCTCCTCTCTCCTCCTCTTGGGTACTCTCTGGTCATTTGGTGTCCTTGGCTTATGGGTGGTGGCTGCTCCTTCTGTTGGGTTGGTTCAACTGCTGTTTCTTCTCAGCTACAAGAAGACTCAAGAAACTCTCTCTCAGGCGGGACAGAAGACGTCGGCTGCCCTGTCCACCGTGGGCTCTGCCATTAGCAGAAAGCTCGGGGATATGAGGTGAGATGCTCTAGTTGTGTGGGCCAGTCGGGTGAGGGTTTAGGGGTTTTAGAGCTGCTGGAGGCTCTGCAGGGGGGCCCAGGGCTCAGATGCATACCCCTTGGGGGCCCCTTGGCACCCATAGACGTGGGCCCACCAGCCTGGACCAGTTGGTTCATGGTCCCTTGTCTGTGGGCTGCCTCTTTGCCATTTCTGTGTTTCTTGGGGGAGGGGGGTCATTGTTTCTTTTGGGTAACTTCTAATACTTGGGATCTGTAAAAGCGGGTGCTTCCCACTGAAGTTCCACAGAGGGAAGACGGCCCCCATTTGGGGGTCAGTGTCAGGGTGGGGCATCACTCTGGGCAGGCCGGCAGGTTGGGGCAGGGGGTAGGGGAAGCGTATTGTTTTCTTGGAATGTTTGCCTGGCCCCAATCTCAGAGAGTGTGTGGCTATGTGCCAGGGGCCCCAACTGAATGTTCTCCCCCAGAGCTGATGAGACCTTCACGGCCATCACAGGTGCCTCTTGAGCAGGGTCTGGGGCCAGGGAGTGTGGAGGCAGCTTGGACACTTGCTGGGCCACACATGGCAGCACCCATCCACAGCCTTTCCTGCTCTGGGCTCCGTGGCTGCACCCACCAGGTCTCCTTTGCTACACAGCAGTGAGCCAAGGGGCTTGGACCCCGGAGCCTGAGGCCGTGGTGTGAATCCTGGCTCAGCTGCCTCTTTGTTGTGCCCTTGGCAAGGCATCCCTCTCGGGATTATTAGGATGAAGTGTGCACTGCTGAACCACGGTGTGGAGTGCACTTCGTTACCATTGCCAGCATCCTGGCTGTTACTGCCCAGCCCTGCCCTGGCCCCTGACCCGCACTCAGGACCAGTCCCCTCACTTTGGGATTTCAGGGAATGCCTGTCTGTGGCCCCCACCCCATGCTGAGGCTTCTGTCTTCTCACAGTTGAGAATCACACTGTGGTGATGCCTGTGGACTTGGTGTGCTGAGTGCAGCATTGGGGGTCCATCCCGCTCTGTAGCCCCTCACCTCTTACCCTCTGGTGGGCTGCCTCCCTGCCTGCTTAGGTTAGGCATTCCCTCACCTCACAGGCCTGGCATTTGCCTTGTGGGGCCTCAAGGGTGGGGGCTGTGCCCTGGTCACATAGCAGAGGTGACGACACAGACCCCTACCCCTCGGCTTATGCCCAGAGCCGTGCTTACCTTTCGTTTGTTTGATGGAATTAGCTCCCTTCCAATTTTTATTTTGAAAAATTTCAAATTTTCGGCAAGGCTGAACAGTTAGTACGCGGTCTGTGTGTTTCTTCTGTGCTAAGGAGTTCGCATTCCCACAATTGGGGGTCTGGTCCTGCTCCGGAACAGCCATGGCTGGGGTGTCCTCTTGCCCACAGTGGCTGTGATTCACTCGGGTCCTACCAGCCGTGGCTTTGAGGGGCCCGCAGGGAGGGTGTGCAGTGGTTCCTTCCACAGGCTTCACAGTGGTCTGCTAATATTTGACTTCGTGGGTGTGTTCCTGTAACGAATCTCATTTGAAATTAGATGGATGCCATCGCTGCTGCACTCTGGGACACCTGCTTTGGTCACCTGAGCCGTGCTGTGGTAAGCCCGGTGACAGACTGATCACACGCCACTGGTGGCTGGCCTTGCTCCCGGGGAGCGCCACGGAGCAGGCCGTGTGTCAGGTTGTGCCCGTTCTTTCCTCAGAATGCTGGGTTGGTAACAGCATTTGAGGGAAGCAGTGACTGTCTGCGGTGCCTAAATTACGTGCTCACAGGAGTGTCCTCTGTCACTTTGGGCATTACTCTCCTCCTACGTGTCCTCACTCGTGTTCGAGTGCGTGCAGAGTGTTGGCGCTGGTGGGAATGGCTGTGGTGGAGCTGTCACGGGCCACCGTGGCTCCGTTCTGCGACTGTTTCTTCGTTACCGCTCTCGGCTCCAGGAACTGGCGTTTCCTGCTGACCCGTGGCGTGTCGCCTCAGGTCACGTGCCCGACCTCCCTGTGCCTGCTGCGTGTTGCATTAGCACTGTGCTTCACATGCGTGGGCCAGCTGGCGGGAGGAACCAGGTCCATTCCAGGTGCCCAGAGGGACTGTCCCGTTTGCTGCCACGCCTCACCTCGGGGCTCTTTGGTTTTATTCTGCTGTGTTTTCAGGGGCACAATGAAGTCTGACACCTACAGGTCCTCAGTGGGTCCACCATTGCCTCACCACAGGGTCTCAGGTGGTTTCTGAGGCCACGGCCTGTTAACCTCCCCAGTTTGGAGCTGAGGTGCAGAATTTACCACTTCTTGAGAAAGAAAACGAGGTCCAGGGAAGTTTATATATATTTAGACGTCTGCCCCACATCAGTGTCCTCAATGGGCCTGTCCAGGAGCAGCCCTGGCCTGAGAGGCTTTTTGCGTGCCCTGGGGTACGAGGCAGCAGGCTGGGAGAGGGAATTGGATTTGGGTTCAAGCAGGGATGGGTCTCTGTCTAGCTTGGTGTCTTGTGACAAGGCACCTGCCTTCCCTAATCCTCAGACTCCTCCTCCTTCCACCTGGAGGTGGCAGGGCCTGCTGCCCACCCACGTGGCCATGTTGCTTCTGAGATGACCTCCATGTTGGGGGTAAGAGGTGGTAGGCCTGGCTGCATCGTGGAGGACATGGCCGTGTTGCCCTTAGACATGTGTGTTTCTAGGTTGGAATCTGTCAGCTGTAATGATGGAGCCGGAGTGCAAGGCGCTCGGCCCTGGGGGTGTCCCAAGGCCTGTTGCAGCGTATGTGTGTGCTCTGGTCCGGCTGAGGCCCTGTGGAGAATGCAGGCCGGTCTGTTGACGCAGAGCGAGTCAGCTGAGCCTGGCTGACCTGGGTTCTGGGCACACACAGACCCTGAGGGTGGTGGAGCCTGCCTCAGCACACCTCACACCTCTGCACTGCTCCTCTCTTTGCAGCTTCTTCCTTCTAACTCCAGGCAGGGTCATGGACATGCGGGTGCCTCGTCTGTGACCCAGGTGGGGTTGTGGAGGGGCCGGTCATGTGCCTCTCACAGAGTTGGGGCTTGGGGAGAGTGGAGACGGGTTGCATGTCTACTCTCCCTGGTGGTGTGAGGAGTCGGGGTGGTCATGGGGGTCCCTGCGTGGCCTCCCAGAGCTTGATTTAGGGGCTGGGGTGGGCCCTGGCCTCCCTTCCCTAACACTGCGTTTCTTCTCCTCCTGCTGCCACCTCTCAGGGCTCGTCCGTTCTCACACTCCTTTAGGTAAGACTGCTGCTGGACGTACCTGTGGAAGACTCTTCTTTTGAGGCAGGGCAGAGTGGTGTCTGGCTGGCCTATGGAGGCTGCTCTGGAAGAAGTGGTGAGGGCGCCACGGCCCCTTGCTGGCATAGCCAGGCCCACCAGCTGTTGGGGCCTGCTCGAGAGCTCATGGCGTTCCTCGGGCTGTGGCCATGCAGCTCGTCACCAGCCTCCAGCCCAGCCTCATGGAGCTTGTCTTGCAGCTCCCACCTGCGTGTATTCCTGAGAAGAGACCTATTCGTGTGGGAGGGTCATGCTGGCTCTCTTGCTGTTGTGATCTGTGCCTCTTCCTCCAAAATGCTGGCTCCTCTCCTGTTTTCTCCTTCCCCGGAGAAGCAGTGTTGTCCCTGTGAGTTGAGACGGTCTCGTTTATCTTGTGAGAGCAGCGAGCATCACTGGGACCCCTCGGGCATCCTCCTGAGTGGTCCGCACTCCGTGCTGATTCAGTCATGCTTTTCTAGCCTGACACCAGCTGCCCTGTCACACAGTCTTCCAGCTTGCAGGCCTGGAACCCAAACCCAGAACAACGTGTGATTGGAAATATTTTTACTTACTTGACCTGGTGGTTTCTGTTACCAAAAAGTCACTTCACTTGCCGTGAAGTCAAGTAAGGACATTTGACAGTTATTTGTACCAAAAGTATTTTTAAAGCCCCAGACCTAGGTCTTCTTGGTTCCCTGTTTTAAAGCTCTCCCTCGGCAATCTCCCATTTCTGGGGCAGCTTTGGAGGCCAGGGAGAGGAGCCTGGGGTCGAGTTCTCCTCCTGGTGCTGGGTGCCCTTCCGTGTGCGGTGGCCAGAGCCCAGCTGCCCTGCAGAGTCGGGTTTCTGTGTGGATGAGCTGATGGGCGTGGTGAATGCCAGGCTCGTCCCTGTGTTAACTTCTGCTTCCTTCTCTGCTTCTACCATGCTTCCGAGCAGCAGCTCTTCAATCCGCCACTCGATAAGTATGCCAGCCATGAGGTAATGTGCACTCGTGCCCCGGGGCTCTCAGAGCCGGGGTGGGAGCCGGGTGGGAGTGGGTGGCTCCTGCTGGTCACCCTCCCACTTCCCATATCCCTGAGCCAAGGATCATCTTCCCCTGGCAGCCTCCTGTGGGCCAGGGGTTGGGAAGATCCCTTCTAGGCCAAAGAGCTAGTGGGGGTGAGGCTCAGAGATACCATTTTACCAAATGGGCTCTCATCTGGAAGCTTCCAGGGCTGCCCATGGGGTTGGGCCAGGGAGGGACAGAGAGATTCATACACATCTGCGCAGCACCCAGGAGGCTTAAGGAAACTTTCATCTGTACCTAGAGGGGAGTCCTGGTCTCCCCAGAACACCCAGAGCCTTGGCCTGTTTTTGCAACCTCCCATGGGTGTGTTCTCCACGGTGGTGCAGCAGCAGAGCCCCATCCTTGTTACGGGAGAATCTGCCATGGCTGCCACACCCCACAGTGGTCTGGGGGTCCTTGACAGGCTGCCTCCAGGGGCCGGAGGGCCGAGCCAGTGAGGCAGGAGCTGGTTGTGGAAAGGGTGCAGGGTGGGGCTGGGCCTGGCCCGCTTTCTCCTTCCTCACTCCCTTGTCCCAGCATTGTCCTTGGTTTTCCTTTGCCGGACTTCCGTGAGAGGTTTGTGTCAGGAACACCTGGGACTTACCATGACCTCAGTATATGTGTATTGAGGGTACAACAGAAACATGTCCTGCATCCCACGCACCGCCCAGGCAAGTGGTCTGCAGTTTGCCCGCGTGAAGTCTTGGGTTTCACCCACTGGCGATGTGTAGGTCTTCCGTTCTTGCAGTTGGCAGGTGTGGCTGACCTGTTCTGACCTGGAAGCCTCCAGAATGACCTTGCTGGGGCCGTCTTCAGGGGGCTGCCATGGCTGCCGTGCTGTGCTCCCTCTCCATTTTGGCTTGTCCCATATTTACAGGGGGTCTCAGGATGCTGTCAGGGATCTTTCTGGAGGTTGGCCCTAACCCTGAGGCCCTTCAGATTGAGGAGGGCAGCACAACCGTTTGCTCCCTACACTGATCTCCCATCTCTCTCTCTTTAAAGGAATTCTGCGACCTTCAAGTCGTTTGAAGATCGAGTTGGGACCATAAAGGTAACGGTCTCTGGGCCAGTCACTTGTCTTGTTGGGGTGGGGCATGATGCGTCCTTTACGTAAACTTACTTACTTATCATAGATTCGCGTGCAGTGACAGGAACTAATGCAGAGGGTCCTTGTAGCTTTTACACGGTTTCCCCAGTGATCACGTTTTGCAGTAGCACAGCCAGGTTAGTTCATTGACACGGTCAAGGTGGAGAGTGGCTTCATCCCCACAGCGGTCCTTCCTGGTGCTCACCTTCCTCCAGCCCTGCCCCCACCATCACTCATCTGTTCTCCATTTCAATGACTTGTCATTGCAAGAATGTCCTAGGATTGGAACTGTGTAGCATGGAGCCTTGGAAGATTTGCTCTTTTTACACTGCATAAATTCCTGGAGATACTGCCAGCCTGTTGCCTGTGTCGGTGATTTGTTCCTCTTTATTGCTGATTGGTGTTGACGTGGTGTAGACTCCATAGAGAGCTGGACAGCTGGGGTTCCCGGCACAGTCCTAGGACCTGCCAGCATTGTGTGCTCTGTCTCAGGTTTTATTATCTTTTTTTCTCGTTTTTTCTTTTTCCCATCTGTAGTCTAAGGTTGTAGGTGGCAGAGAGAATGGCAGTGAGAACCTTCCCTCCCCAACCGGGAGTGGCGCCAAGCCCCTGCCGGATCACACGCCTTTCTAAGCCCGTCGCAGCTTTGCCCGGCCACGGAACAAGTGTAAGCACATCCTCATCGCCTTGACTGCAACTCTGCAGCGCGACAGCCCACCAGGCCGCAGGCGGGCGCACGGAGCTGGCTTTGAGGATAGTCGTGCCACTCACATGTAGCCGTGGCCTCTGTGTTCGCATGAGCTTTACAGAACACGGTCTTATACGCAGATGCTTTACACTGAAGTTGTCAACTATCCTCCCTGGGGTGCGGGGAGTGGACAGAACAGTGGGCCCTTTGGCAGTCTTGTTAGCTCATGAGAACGTGGAAGGAGCAGAGAGTGATAAGCATAAAATAAGTGGTATTTCCTCAAACTCTCCTTTCTTAAGTTAGAGAAGGAATCTGCGGAAGGAAGATCATCTAGAAAGCCCTACCGGATCTTCAGTTTTTATTTCAAACGCTAAATGAGAAAACTGTCCATTTTCTGAAACCATCCAGAAAAGAAACTGGTTATCAGCAGCCGCCTAATTGTTACACTAATGATCGAGCTTTAACAAAAGCAAATTCTTTATTTTTTAAATGCAGTGAATTTTTCAAAAATTAAAGCTAAGCAGAGCAGCTTTAGTCTCAGTTAGAAAACATTATTTCTTTGGACTCAAGCTGAAATACAAGCCTTACATTACCTTATGCTTTATTTGTTTATAATGTTTTTATATATAAAAATAAGGGTTCTTTAGTGGATTTTGAGCACCATGTAGACTCCTGCATCTAGCCCAGAGGGCAGCATGCCTGGACCGTTGGTGTGTTTTATTTCACTGATGCACGTCATCCCAGTGTATGAAGCTTGCCTCTCTCTCCTCTCAAGGACCGGGGCAGCTCCTGCTGGTCAGAGGGCTCCTGGGCCTCTGGGGGTTGGGGCAGGGGGACAGGAGAAAGAAAACCCGCACCCTCCATGGATGGCTGATGCATGACTTGTCCTCGGCTCCAACCTGCCTGTTTGCTGCACGCTGGGGACAAGTGAGAAGCAGATGGCCCTGCATGGGGTCGGCTGGAACTCGGCTGTCACCTTTTCTCAGGAGCTGCCAAGATCTCATTCCCGTTGTGAAGCTGCCACACCCCAGCAGCCTTGCGGTCAGGGCCCCACGCGTGGGGTGTGTCTGCAGGGGCAGCCCTCCGTGCCTTACTGGCTCCCAGCAAGCAGAGACCGCTCCTGCACACGCACCTGTGCACTCCCGGGTCGGGGGCGGGGGGGCATGCGCTCAGAGTCCACTCTGGTAGACCATGGTGTGCTCTGGTAAGCTGAGCGTCGGCTGGTCCCTTCAGACAGCCTGGGTGGACTGCGGTCCCTGCTGACGCCATGGGAAGAACAGCATTTGGTGTTTTTTCTTCAGGGTTAGAATCACGGATGGGGTGTGGTGAGAAAGCAGGATGCAAGTGTAGTAACTGATTTACCTTTTCCTAAAAATGGATAATGGGAAATTTGTCAATAAAACGTTCCTTTGGGGAAGAACCCATGTGAGCTTGTGTGGTACATCTCACTTCATGCGTGAAGGTCAGGAAAGAGGGGCAGATAAACCCACCTAGATCCTGAGCCTTGGGCCCACGGTGGAGGGAGAGGGAGGGGCGGGTGGGGCGCTGGTAGAGCTCACTTGCAAATCCCAAATCTTTAGTCCTGTGAAGGAAAACAGCGTGCCTCGAGAGAGTGTTGTGGTGACAAACCTGGGGGGTGCCTGAGGAAGGGGAATATGGAGGGTGAGAAGGAGCTAGCCTGCAAGCAGGGTCAGGGCCAAGCAGCTGGAGGCCTGCATGCCAGGCACTAGAGAGGCTGGTTGGCAGATTGGCCGCGTTGAAGGGTTTGGGCCCCTGCGGGAGCCGCTTGGAAATCCTGCAAGCATCTAATTTCGTTGCGGTTACACCCGAGCTGTGAGGGACTGGAAAGCCACAAGTATCCCCCAGTCAGGTGCAGAGTCTCAGCTGGAGGAAGGCCACTGAGCGGGCAGTGGGCATCGTAAGTGAGTCCCATCCTTACACCCCCTACCCACACAGGTGGGACCATATGAACAAAGGTAAATGACAGCCTTGAACAAACAAAGTAACTGTCAAGTGAAGCTCTCCTGAATTAAGGTGGCACAGATGAAATGGGGTGATGGGGCCCTCACAGCAGGGACGGAAGGCTCCAGTCAGGAGGGTCGGCAAACAGGTCAGCTGCCACGGGAGGCCTCAGGATGTGTGCAGGGGCCTGGTGGAGCAACCGAAGGCAGTTTGAGGACTCCTTTGTTAACACTGTCTGCAAGATTCAAAAGTGGATCCAGTCCGTGCTCAGAAACAGGCTCTGGTTCCCCACCCGTCACCTGCCCGCCCTCTGTGATGACTCTCTTTTTTTCAAAGATTTTATTTATTTATTTGAGACAGAGACACAGAAAGAGAGCACGAACAGGGGGAGAGCAGAGGGAGAGGGAGAAGCAACCTCCCTGCGGAGCAGGGAGCCCGACACGGGGCTCGATCCCAGGATCCTGGGACCATGACCTGAGTGGAAGGCAGACGCTTAACGACTGAGCCACCCAGGTGCCCTGATGACTTTTTTTTTTTTTAAGATTTTTATTTATTTGAGAGAGAGAGAGCACATGAGAGGGGGAGGGTCCGATGACTCTTTTTAAGATTTTATTTATTTGAGGGGCGCCTGGGTGGCTCAGTCGGTTGAGCGTCTGCCTTCGGCTCAGGTCATAATCCCAGGGTCCTGGGATCAAGTCCCGCGTCGGGCTCCCTGCTCAGCGGGGAGTCTGTTTCTCCCTCTGCCGCTACCCCCCTCACTTGTGCTCCCCGCCCCCGTCAAATGAATAAATAAAATCCTTAAAAAAAAAATTTATTTGAGAGCACAAGCAGGGGCTCGATCCCAGGACCTGAGATCATGACATGAGCTGAAGGCAGACGCTTCACCGACTGAGGCCCTCCCCCCCCCCCCGTGTCCCTGTGATGAATCATTACTTGTTCATCCTTTATTTCTTCATGAAAAGGCAAGCAAATGTGAACGTGTATTCTCATTCCTTTCCCTTTATTATTCATAAGACTGTGTTCCTGTGCTCTGCTTTTCCTTAATGCCATGCCCTGGGGTGCTAGCCATACCCACCCCTAAGGCCCTTTGAGGGAGACCCATCTTTCTGCTGGCCTGGTATCCATATGTGTCCATTCCTGCTGTTGTGAGTGTTCCGGTGGTCAGCGCCTTTACTGGGAGCATCCCACTTCCCTTTGGGATCAGAGAGCAGGCTTGCTCCAGGTGTAATAGCAGGGAGGGCTTAGTAACTTGACGTTGTATGAACTATGCACTCCACACGATAGTCCAGGACAACAGTCAGCTGGTATAAAGGGTGAAAAGCACGTTTATCTTCATTTATTTTGGGAATGGGTTCAATGAGGTTTTTTTGTTTTTGTGGTGGTTTTCTTTTTTTAAGTAGGCTCCACATTGGGTGTCCCAACATGAGGCTTGAACTCAAGACCCTGAAATCAAGACCTGAGCTGAGATTGAGTTGGACGCTTAACCAACTGAGTCACCCAGGCGCCCCATGTAGTCTTCATTTATTAATATTAAAATATTCTGTGGGTAAGAATCTATGAGGCTTTGTGGGATAGAGGAATCTGATGTGGACCCACTTGCAAAGCCCCTGAAGGGCTTTGCAACTCCATTTGTTGGGGAAGACAAGGTATTACCTTACATAATAGACGTGTGTGAGGTGAGCTTTCAGAGCTTGGAGGACCAGAGCAGGTGGTGGGGCAGGTAGGAGCAATGGCACCCTTGGGAGGAGCTGCTGTTGGAGGGTGAGGATAAAGGTCCGCCTCGCCTGAACAAGGGGCACAGACAGCACGGGGGCTGAAGACAGCCACTGTCAGCATTTCACAGGTACCTTTTCTGTTTTATTTTCTCTGAACGGGTTGGATTGCTTATTTATAAACACCCTTGTAAGGATGAACTTTTTACATCATGTATCTTGCTCATTTACCTTCAGGAACTAACTCAAGAATTTTTTATGCTGTTATGTAGCCTTTGTATACATTTATTTATTTGACAGCAAGAGAGAGCACAAGCAGGGGGAGGGGCAGAGGGAGAGGGAGAAGCTCAGGCTCCCCACTGGGCAAGGAGCCAACTCAGGGCTCAATCCCAGGACCCTGGGATCATGATCTGAGCCAAAGACAGACGCTTAACCAACTGAGCCACCCAGGAGCCCCCTTTGTATACATTTTTAATTACTGTTCCGGGGCGCCTGGGTGGCTCAGTCGATTAAGCATCTGACTAGATTTCGGCTCAGGTCATGATCTCAGCGTCGGTGAGATCGAGCCCTGGGTCAGGCTCTGCACTGGGCATGGAGCCTGCTTAACATTCTCCCTCTCCCCTTCCCCCTCCCTGCCCCCTCTCTCCCTCTAAAAAATAAATGAATAAAAATAAATAAACCCACAAAACTATACTGTTCCATTTGAGTGTGCTTGTATAGTTGCACAGGTTTTTGTTTTCACTATTATAAGTAACACCATCAAGAGCATAAAACTTTTTCTGTATTTGGGAACATTTTCTTAGGAAGAATATCCCTAAAGTGGCACTACTAGATCAAGGGGGGACTCATTAAGGCCTGGCTCATTCGTGTTTGCAGCTTCCAACACAGGCTGATACTGGTACCGGGTCCGTTTTATTCTTTCCTTCCTCCTGTGATTCTGTCCTGGGATCCTCCATGCTCTTGAGTCAATAGACAGTATTAATCTGGCCTTTTCTCCTTACTGTCTGCTCGATGTTGCAGTTTACTGACTACCAGGAGACTTCCTGAGCTCCCAGCGCGGTGGCAGGGAGGTGTAAGAAGAGGGCAGAGGTGGCTAGGGGTCCGAGCTTGTTGGCAGAGAGCCTGGATTTTGCTCGGGTGTCTTAGGAGGCCTTGGATGTCATCAGGTTTCTGTTGGAAGAAGACAACTCCGCTGAACGGAACATGGCCATGGGCACGAGTGGAAGCGAGGAGGCAGAGCACTGACCAAAAAGATCTGTTTGGGTGGCTTCTGGATGAAAACTGGCACGTGCCAGTGGAGCAGACACAGCAGGCACCGAATAAATGGTAGAACTGTTTTCGGTGACGGAGTGACAGCGAAAGGGGGCAGGAAGGCCTCCCCTCCCAGGTGGCCAACAGGATGAGCAGAAGCCCTACCTGGATGGGGAAGTGAGTGGACGTTGGTCCTCCCGCTTTCCCACGCCGCTGTTTGAAGGCGATTCTGGGAGGGTGGCTGGACAGTGGCGGTGGCACTTCAATGATTGGGCAGCGGGATAAGGAAGTCCCATCCCTGAGCTCCAGAGAAGAGCAAATGCGAGTCCCTAACAGTGGCCCGAGGAAAGGGGGCGTCGGTCTCCGGGTCATTTCCCACCAGCTCCCTCTGCCGTTCTTTGATGAGGACAATGACATGTTATCAGTCTTAACGTATGGCGCTGAGCAAACTCAGCTGCAACACAAGGCCCCGCACTCCTTTCCCGCGGCTCACCGCATCACCTGTCCGCGCACCTGAGAGCACAACCCGCCCTGGCAGGAGGCTCCGCCCCCGCGCTTCGGTCCCGCCCCTGCCGGACGGCAAGCGCTTCCGGCTCCGCGGTGCGAGCTCCGCCCACAGCTCCCGGGGCTTCCGTTCCTGGGCTGTCACTTGGGGCTCCGCCCCTGGGCTGTCGCTCGAGGCTCCGCCCACGCAAGGCGTTTCGGAGCCTCCGCGGCTGTCACTTGCGGCTCCGCCCTATATGGGCGGAGCCCCCCGCCCCGCCCCCAGCCTAGCGCTCTGGGCGCGTGCGCGGCCTGCCCCGTCCGCGGCTCCAACCTGCGGAGCCCACGTTCCTCCGGGGGCGCGCGCGCCTGTGCGGGTGCGTGCGTGAGCGTGCGTGAGCGTGCGCGTCCCCGCCGCCTCTGCCGGTGCTGCTCCCGCGCCCTCTGCCGCCGCTGCCCCTGCCCCCGCCGCCGCAGCCGCCGCCGCTCGGGGTCCCCCAGACGCAGCCCCGGCTGAGGACCGCGTCGGCCGGCTGCCCAGCAGCGCCGCGGAGCTGAGGAGCGGAGCCGCGGAGCCGGCGGGAGGGCGGGCGGGCGGACAGGTGAGCGCGCGGCGGGCCCGACGGGCCTCCGGTCAGGCCAGGACAGTCAGCGCGGGCCGCGGGGGTCTGCAGGGGGCGCGGAGTGAGGGGCCAGGGGGCCGCGAGGTGAGGGAACCGCGGGGCGCGGGGCGGCGCGCCCGCGGTTGGAAATGGCGGCGACCCTCCCTCCGGGCCGGGGGGCGCAGGGCGGGGGCCGGCGGGGGAGGGAGCTTCCCCTGAGCGTCCGCTGTGGCGGCGGGGCCGGGTGGACGCTGCGGCCTGGAGAGGGGGCCGGGCAGAAGGCGCGCCTCCCGCGCGGTCTAGGCCCCGCGCGAGCCTCGTCAGGGGTGACCCGAGGGGTCTGCGCCGGCCGACCGCTGCCGGGGTGCTCCCTGGGTCCGCAGTTGGGTCGGGGCACGACCGGGTCTGGGCACA